CTTTAATAGAAGGTTTACGATTTAGTAGAGGATAGATTTGTAATTTCAACAGCAGGTGATCCATAATTTCAATAGTACGTACGTATGTAAATTTATTACGCCAATATCACCTAATTATTGCCTGATTAGTGATTGTGAATATAGATACGTACGTACGTATGGCAAGCGAAAAATTATGAAAAAATACTATATTATTGGTTAAGAAATTCACTTCACAATTGCGTCAAATGTGGAACATGATTTGCAAATTATTAGAACCAGTTTGAAAAAGCTGATATATTGCATAAAATCTTTGGCTCATTCATAAATTTACGTTCCTGGTGTCGTGCGACAGCGTCGCGCAGCTACCAACGTAATATGAAGTACGTACGTACGTAGTGTATGGTTTATTAGCGATTTAAGTGTTTTTGTACAAATCTACGCCTTTGATTGGATATCCGTTTTTTACATCATCATATGATTAGGCATACCCATATTTATACATGCTTTATTAAAAATTACAGCTCTGTTAGGCTTGGCCTTCCTGTGCAAATCCATGCTATTGATTGAATTTTTACATGCATCATATAGTTAGGTATACCCTTATTTATACATGCGTTACTAAAAATTACAGCTTTGTATGGCTTAGTCATCCCAAATATAACAGCATTGGCAGTATAATATATCGTAACCGATTATTGAAAGGTGTACCCAGGAATATAGTATGAAGTACGAAGTACGTACGTACGTAACTGGCTTTAGAATATCAGATATCAATATTTTAATGTTACGGCTGATGCTGAAGTTTGGCTGATGTTGAAGCTAAAAAATCTGATTGGCTAAATTTTGCAGATCACCCTAACCCTAACCAATCAGATTTTTTAGCTTCAACATCAGCCAAACTTCAGCATCAGCCGTCACATTTAACGTAAATAATAAACGTACACTGATCATGCCGAAATCAATAACTTATCGAATCGGCCAAATCATCGCTCGGTTAATTTTTACCAGCTGTCCCAAAATTTATGAGAATAGCTGTAAAGTTTTAAAAAAAATTGATCTACATGGGTGTGGAAATATCAAAAAAAGGGTGTGGAAATATCAGTCGCCTAAAAATAATATATAAACATTATTGTTAAATATTTTAGAATTATATTTGTAATCAATAAAGTGTTAGATATTTGGATCTAAAATTTTTGTATTTCTCTAATTCAATGTCTAGAAAAAGATAAGTTCAAATAGTATTTAAGGTGTAAATTATTATTATTGATAGGATATGGAATAGGCTAAAAATTTGCGACAAGTAGTTGTTTATTATTTTATTTTATTATTTTTTTTTATTTATATGAAGCGAAATATGATGTGAAATATGATACAAAATGTAATACAAAATGTGATGTGACTTGATCCGACTTTATATTTATTAGCATAACAACCAATTAATAAATAGAGTCAATTGAGTCGTTAGCATCCCTAGATACAAAGTATGATATGAAAATTTTGAACCCGGACCAATTTTATATTTATGACGTAATAACATTTTGGTCTGGATTCAAAATGATATGAAATATGATGTGAAGTATGATATGAACGAAATATGAAGCAAAGTATAATGCAAAATGTAATGCAAATGTAATGCAAAATATAATGTGAAATATAATATGATACAATGAGAAATATGATGCGAATTATTTGTTTTTCATCGAAGTATTTCTTACTTTAGCGATGTTTTTGTGACGAATATATATACATTGGAATAATGTCAGGTATTTATTTAATCAATTCTGTACTAAAAAGTAGAGGCAACGTGTTGTATTCGTGTGATAATAGAACTTTAATTTTCATGGCTTTTGATTAATTAGTCTTATTAGATTTTTGCCATTTTGGCATAAATGCTTCAATAATCGTTTAATTCTGCATGAAATGTTTTTATTATATTGATTATTATTACATTCATTGTACACATTTTAATCTCAAATCGAACTTATTTTGACGCAACTCAATTTTAAATCTTCGAGGTATTCAGTAAAGTGGTATTGTATGGCAGTACAGATTCGGACGGACATACGAAAATTATACTAAATTTTGATCGTACGTATGTACGTACGGTTAACATAGACTTGTAAAATGAGTAACCCTTTTTAATGGCTAGAGTTGGGGCAAGCCTTTTTTCTTGTTAGGGTAAGGACAGGTATGTGAAAGTAACTTTGGTTTGACGAGTTTTTTTCTTACAAGCCGTACTATCATAACTTTACATATCCGTCCTAATTGCGCTGCCGTATTACTTTACTATATACTCCCTCTTCGAATCTGACGAACGCATATACAAACATTCTTACACTTGACATTATAATTACACTACGTAAAAATCCTATTTGCCTGGCTCAAGGGATACAACGAGGGTTAAAAAGGGCCATTTACCCTACATCACGTAGGGTGACAATTTAGCATTTTATTGGTTGCAAATATATATATATAAATGGCCTGTCGGGGACCGAGACGTAACAGTTAGAAAGCTGTTTAAAGTTCTATGCTCAGCCCATTTAGATATTTGAACATTTATTACCATTTTGACGACATAACCACGAATACGTATCAACCTCTGAACAAAAAAACATTTAGACAAATCCTTTAAAGTATTAATGATAGAAATTTTAAGTTCTGGTACGTAGCAACCGCAATTTTTTATGTAAGGCAATTTGTAATGATTATCTTTTTTTTTTTTTCTGTTTCTCATCGGCGATATAGCCATACAAAGTATATTGAAAATAAAGTTTTTAATTTGGTGCTGCGGTGTCACGATGGCGTAATATTCCTTTTACGATTGCATATACTGTTATACGGCTATGCAGGTGGGCTGAATGCAAAATGATTATCGATCCGAGACTTTATTAGAAGTAATTTGGTTTCTTTAATTATTACGTAAAATTTATTTGGCCAATATTCAAAAACGAAGAATATTTACCGTTATCCTTATCTTAATGTTTATCTTAATGTTTATCTTAATGTTTATCTTAATATTGTTCTTATATTGTTTAGGTGTAATGACAATAAATATCGCACACACAATAAAAATTCACTTATAATGTTTGTCTTATGCTGATGTGTAACACGTATTGATATAATAATCATTAGGTTATCGTTATGGTATTGATCTTTCGAAATCCATTTTCCCGAAAGGATGTAATCTCAACTGGATCAACTTGTATTATAGCTAACGCTAGCTAACTTTGTTTTTTAGAAAATAACTTTTACAATGTAACTATCGTACTACGTACGTGAGTACGTACTGATACGTAGCGATAACTGATAAAAATCGAACTCCGTATTAATGAAGTAATTTATTTTCCGATAAAAGCATAATTTAGTCTTTTTAGTATTATGTTTATCATGTCGGAGTTTGAATTTTATAAAAATGATTTAAACCATTTTAACATTTTAAGTATTATTGTATGAATAAATTATTTATAATTATCCAAATTGTAATATTTTCAAAATAATTAATATACCAAATGATTACTAAAAACAGGATAATATTAAAATTGTTTTAGTTTCGTTAAAAAAATTAATGTTTAAAATTTATAGATCATCTAAAATTTTACTTAATTAAAATAAAATTTTCAGCCTGAAAAGAATTTAAAATCTTTTCATATTGTTTAAATTATATATATTATTGATAATTTTTTTTACAAAAAATAACTTTATATTTTATTATGCTTGACACTATTATTGTTGGGCATAGGAGAGGTGTTGAAAGAGGAGTTTTAGATGCTGTTGAAGACAGAAATTTTTTATATGATGGATATTATTTAAAAAGCAAATATAATGAAGAAGAATATTTACCAGAAAAATACCATCTTAAAGAATTAGATTCTGATTCATATTCTTATAGAAATCAAATGCTTTATGAAAAAGCAGATGGTATTTTAATCTTAATTACATCAAAATTTGATTTTGATTATGAAAAGAATTTTAATGGACTTAAAGAAAAAGAAAAAACAACTATTATTCTTAAAGATAATCCTGAACAAAACAAGCAAAACAAGGATCAGATTAATAATTGGATTAAAAAAAATAACAAGGTTAAAAAATTACTTATAGTTGGACCACACGAAGAAGAAATGTATGAAATTACACTCGAGTTTTTATGTTTTTTAATTAATAATTTCAACAATAATTAGATTTATTTTTCGTCATATCACTGTATTTATTTGTTATTTATACATAGCGAAAGTATTCGTATATATGTATTACAATGCTTGAGAAAAATTTTACTTATATCATGCTATTACGTATTGAGAAGTTTATTTAGATGCCATTATTGAGATGTTTATTTAATTTAACCTCGAATCAATTTGTTTTTTTAATTTTATATTGCGAGAGTTCATAAGTTTTTTTAATAAAGTTTAAAGTTTAACTCAAACTTCATCAAAAATACATCTTTAACTTAATTGCATTCAGATTTGAATTTATTAATTAAAACACCATATAGTTACATGATTCTTTAAATTATACCACGTCAAAATTAATCTAAAAGTTTTGCCATTTCATTGAAGCTCATTAATCTAGATTAAAGCTTATTATTATACCCGCAACTTTACGAATGTAATTAAACTATAATGGATGTCTGATATTGAAATAATCAATAATCCTCGTGGACTTGTACTAGATTAATCTCATTTCTTAGCGTTAGATAATCTGACCTTAATATATAATGTTATGTGATTTTTCGCATAAAATTCACGTGCAGCATGCACCATACGATTGAATAGCTACATACGTACGTACGTACGTACGTACATACGTATATATTTTGAAAATTTTGTAGGACGTACGTACGTACGTACATATAGTATTAGGTATGTACATATAGTATTAGGTATG